TATCCTCGATCTCCTCTGACTGGATCCGCATTTCTTCAGTTAGTGAAGCGATTTTTTCCCGACTCTCCTGGAGTTCGACCTCGAGAGCTTGCCTCTCCTTTTCGGAGGCCTCCCTTTCTTGTTCAGCTTGCTGAGCCCATATGGAGGTCGTCTGGATCTCCTGGTCCTTCTCTCCGACCTCCTTAGAGAGCCTAGCGGTTGTCCTTTGAAGCTCCTTTACTTCCTCCGCACGTCGTTCAAGCTCTGCCTTTTGGAAGTCCACTGTTCGCAAAGTAGCATCCTTTTGGTTTAGGTACCTGTTCGCCGCTTCGAATGCTTGCGTTCTTTCCGCTTCGACAGACTCCAGGCTATGCTTGAGCTTCGCGACCCCCTCCTTTAGGTCGCTTGCCCCCTTCGCAGCTCCCAACCGAGTCTTCTCCATAGACATCCTCATCACAAGCAAAGTCTGCGAGCAAGAAGTGAATTAGAATGAAAACGGCGGACAAACTTATAAGTATAGTTCGTTTACCTTGCTTAGATGCTGGAACGACGTGGTCATCAGGTCATCGCCCGTATCAGCAAACTCATCATATGACTCCGATAGCCCACACTCGAGTAGAAAATAGACTATCGGCTACAGGTATTCGGGCAGACTCCCCAATGAGTCCAGCACTGGTGCGTCCTTGGCCTTACCGGCAGCGATCGCCTCGTCCACGGGTTCCTTGCCCGACCTCCTTGAGTCCTGTCCCGACCTCAAGGGTTCTTTCTCAGATTTGGTCTCTGACTCGTCGACCTGAATCTGCTTCCTCTTCTTCGGCCTCTGGGCCAGAGCCTTCCGCCTTGGGCGAGCAGATGGTGCCTGAGCGACCTGTTCTGTCCTGGTCGCTTCTTGCACAGGACGGGGTTGGGAAGGCGCGGCTGTTCACACCGGTTGTGCTGCAACGGGACGAGCAGCTTCTGCCGCTCTCTCTCTCCTCGATCGAGGGAAGACGAACGGTGCTTGGCGAGGCTGCTCGGACTCTTTCGGAGGCATAGTTGCTACATGCAAGTACATTAGTAAACAAAATTATTCTGCGACCAGAAGGGAATCAGTGTAACTTAACTTCTAGGGGCTCTAAAGACGCGTTGTTACTGATAAAACCGTACTTCCGCAAGTTCGCGATTGTCACGAGCTTCCTCGCATCCTGGCTTTCCTTAAGAAGGACTCCAAAAGACACGAGCCTGTCCGAGTCGTCAAGCAGGTCTTGGCTGGTCATTCTATTAACTGCAAAAGAAGGACGGTCGTTATGATAAAGCATGCGAACAGACAATGAACCTAGCGAAGAAGAACCTACTTGGTTTCTGAAAGCGGCAGTAGCCGTCATAGCAGAAAAAGAAGAATTTTGTCTCGTAGGCCCCCGCGTTGCTGGGATAGCTATATATCCCTTCGGTGATGGTAGGTCGCCGGGACAAGTAATACGAATCCTTGTCCCTGCTCCTTTTAAGATAGTAGGCGATACCGAGTTCCACCGCCGTTGGCTCGCCCAAGCCACTCTCACAGCACGCGATGTGCATCGCAACGGTGATGACATACACGTTTGGCGTCAGCTGCATCGGTGCGATCCTGAAGTGATCCAGGACCGACCTGATGAAAGGATGGAAGGGAATCATCCCTCCACCCTTGAAGATCTCTTCGGAGATCGCAGCAAGGCCATCGGAAGGATGCCGTGATGACCAGGTGTTGTCGAGGAACACCTTTGCGCGGACATCGTACTGCTTTTTAATCCTATCAAACTCTTTTCGGGTGAGAACCGAGAAGACGTCAAGGGATGCGTCCGCGGGAACATCCCGAGAGGACGAGCTGGTTCCTTCCTCGGGTCTGGACGTTGACGGCTCCATTCCAGAGTCTGCAATACCGACAGACACGGTCATTTTAGCCTTCGCATTTTGTCCCGTGCGACAGCATGGGACAAATTCCTTAAACCCTAACAGTAACTCGAGCCGCCATCCACGGTTCGAATCCGACGATAGCATCGCGTCTCTGGTGAAACACCAGGAGACCCAACGCCATTGCCCACCAACCAAACAAAAAAAAAAAAAGAAAAAAAAAAGAAGAAAAAGGATGTTACCTTCTGGAACGTGTGACCAAGGCCGAATCTTGTTTCAGATATCTGAGAGGCGCTAATCGGAAAAGAAGAACTTCCAGTTTGCAAAGGCTTGTCACTCGAGGCAAAAGGGATTTTGGTGGCATCATCTGAAAAATGTGAGCTTTTATATGGACTGCGAATCGATGGTTACCACCTCTCAGAACCGAAACGACAGTCTTCTCTCTCTCTCCGCATTAAATGCGGCCCACGTCGCATTAAATGTCGTGATGAGGGTCGTCGTTTCAAATGCGTCGTGCAATTAATGCTGTCAAAACGACGCCGGGTCAGCACACAACGCATTTAATGAGCCTGCCAGACGCTTTAACACATGCAGAGCGCCTGACAGCGCAGAAACAGGTTCATTGAATCTCCAACCCTAAGGCACGGTAAGGAACGTCCGATGACTCCAGGTCGCTAGGATGATGATTGTCACGTCGTTTGGGCAAAAATTGTGTGAGGTCGTGTTCGCAAAAGGCCCTCTCCCGAGCTTCTTCCATTTAGGTCGAAATTATTAGAACCTCCAATCACGGCATGACTTAGTTTCCAAGGTTCGATCCTCAAACCTTAAAAACTAGGGGATTTCTGTTATGTCTGGGAAAACAAGGGCTGACGTGGAAAGTCACGTGATGAAGCGTGACCTGCTCCTGTCAGAACGGTAAGCGCACTTCAGGCCTGACAAACACCATGGAGCTCCCACGTGTCCATTTCCCTGCTCCAAATCGCATGAAATCAGCTTGGGAAGTGGGCAATGGGATGTAAAGCCAGATTATGTCCTGACATTCACACCAACCCAAGGATTTAATGATGATTACACGCATTCAACTCGATATAAAAAGAGGAAGACCCCTTCATTAAGGGGATTCGGCCATTTTACACTTAAACTCTCTCTCTCTAAAAACTTTGTATTTACTTTTTCCAATCATTTGTAAGTCAGTCCACTTTTGCGACCTAACCCACCATATTAATAAAAATCAGTGGACGTAAAACTTGCTACCTTAGCATCCGAACCGCTTTAAAAGCTCTCATTGCATTTATTTCGTATTCTCTATCCATAATCACGTGTGTTTCTTGACCAATCAACGTTGCGTACATGTCGATTAGTTGGTGTTAGAATCTCGCATCAACATTATTATTATTATTATTATTATTATTTCTCTCTTTGAAACTAGTTTTAAGACTACTAATTATAATTAATACTTGCTCCATGATTCTTAATAGTTTTTCATGCATAGAGATATCATATTCCAGATAAACAAGAATAATTAATTAAAATTAATAATTACTAATTAGTCATATAAACAAAAAATATTAATTTATGGAAGCTAGTAAATTAAATAAAATCATTTAATTAAAGTTATTCATGATTAACATATAATGAGATATCTCCACCAATTTAAATACCATAAATTTAGGGATTTTTTTTTTTGGAATATCTTAATTAAATTTATAATTAATTTCCTATAAAGTTCATTAGAAAGGTTTAAAACTGATAAAACAATTGTATGAATTTTAATTTAATTAAAATTAAAATGAATTTAAACTCAAAATCAGAATGAGCTAGAAATGATTTGACTCTGAAGATCAAAATTCCACAAAAGGCAGGCCTTAGAATGAAAGACAAAGAAAAGACTTGATGGGGTATTGATTTAATTTGATTTTAGCATAAGATACAAAAATTTGAGGATTTCATAAGGCAAAACAACATGTGACGTAGCTGACTTTAACAAGTTGTGAATTTTGAATCCTTTTTATTAATTATTTATTTATATATGTAAGTTTTATTAGAAATTATTTTTCTAAATAACATTTTATAAAGGCTTGTATTATAAGAAAGTTTATGGCATCACATAATGAAAAAGTCTTTCATTGAGATGGACGTACACTCGTAAGTTGTAATAATGTCTCTTCGTGATTCACGCATCGTTTTAAAGAAGAGTTTTTCTTACGACAAATGCGAATGAAATGACGATATGATTTTCATGGAAACATTCAAATTCCGAACAATAAAACTTTTGAAGCATGATTAATAAAACTATGATAAACGTATTATGTTATTTATGTATCTTTGTAATAAAAACTTTTCACGTATAATGATGACTAATAACTACGTGAGAGAGTGACGCAGTATATCCTTTCACCAAGGTTTTTTTTTTTTTTTTGAAAGTTTCAATACTATTTCCTGAAATACTTTCAATTCAAGGTATTCACCAAGGTTTGTTTTTGAAAGTTTCGATAGTATTTCCTGAAATGCTTTCAATTCAAGGTATTTTAAACAATGTATAAGTTTTTGCACTTGAAATGTTGTCTAAAATTTGAAAAACATTTTTTCCAAAAAGCACTTTCAAACACTTTGCAGAAATTGTTGTTTAAGAGCTTTTGTAAAGAAAAGGGTTTTCCCTCAAAGCTCTTCTGCAGCACTTAAAGCCTACCCCATAAGTTGATAAGACATAGGCGTGAACAAGAACAGAAGATCTCAGCTGAAAATGAAATCTAAAGAAACGTGCATGATGGACAAGTTTGAGTGCTTAGAAAGTCTGGCCTCAGCAACAATGGAGGTGAAATGAACCTTCCGCAGAAATGCATTCATGCCTGTTTATTCTTCTAATCAAGCATGATGTAAGTCACAATCACTCACCGAGTCTTAATCGATAATCTTAAGCAGAACGAGTATACTACATCATTTATATGACCGATTATCGAGTCTTAATCAATAATCTTATATAAGATAAACGTATCACATTATTCATACAACTGTATGTCAAGTCTTACTCGATAATCTTAAGCAAGACAAGCATACCGCATTATTTGTATGACTGTCTATCTGAGTCTTAGTCGATAATTTTAAGCAAAAGAGTATACCACACCATTTATATGATCGTATAATAGAAACTCGCTGAATATATATTGATTTTTCAAATCACCAATCATGTTGGTTATTTCAAGACAGATACAAGCAAATTTTCAACGCAAATTGGAAAAATACAAATTCAATTTGATTGCAAGTTACAAAGAGATGATCCAAGTAAACCTATTTGACAAAAACTCTTTCTACCTATTCTGTTTTCAAGGCATAACCACTCCATCAGGATTTCAATTCTAAGTATTCTAATGGATGTATAAGTTTTTTCTTTCTTTCACAAGCATAGTCGACCGACCTTTCAGATTCATATACAATGATTCGAGCTGCTGGAAGTGAAAACTCCTTGGCGGCGCTTGTTTTAAGTTTCAAGGTACCAGATCCCTTGATTGTTTTAATGGAGTTGCAACCGGGTAGCAGCTTTGGCCAGGATTATATTGTATTTCTGAAACAAAAATAACAGTAGTGGACACATTGTCAGCTTTCTATGATTCTCTCATAGAACAGCAGGCTAGCCTCAGCAGTGAGAACGTCTTTTTCTGAAACACTATGAACCTCGGAATCTGAAATACAAAACCAGTGCGAAGACGGAGTCTCAAAATGTTTATCAGGATCTTCTATGCAGGAGTCAGCTCTAACACTTCTGTAAACAGTATAGTGCCCACTTCCAACTCTTCCAAAGTGTTCTACCACAGAAGAAAGACGATAAAAATAAGCTTCTGGAGGGCATGACGGGGGAAACTCATTCACCTGCTTCCATGAAATTGGACAAACAAAACATAAGACAACTTTAGAGATAAAAAATACACTCCAAATGCATCAATATGTCATCACCAAACAATTTAATTAAAAATTTGTGATGGTAATCTTTATACTAATTATAAAATTCTAGGATACATGCGTCACTAATATTTAAATATTACTAATTGATAGAAAAGAATTTGAATCAAAGTTTCATCTATGAGACAAAATCATCCATCCATGGTCAATGTAAGAGCCAAACAAGTGAACAGAATGTATGCTCATGGTACAAGAATCAATTGTTACTGGTTTATGTCATACATGGACTAATGGTATATGCAGCATGACACGACTGGTAAGCTGTTTAGATGTCTCCCAAATGTTGCTTTACAAAATTCTCAAAACTTAGTACGTAGCTCACCTCATAATTCTATTGAACCACAAATAGTTAGTTGATGTACATCCTTAAGGCATGACAACTTTTTTTTTTTTTTTTAGAAAAAGAAACTAGAAAAAATAAATGCGAAAGCTAACCTACCCCAGATACACTAATATCAGTGAAAATTCAACCAACCTTATCATCAGATTGCACGTGCATGTTTTTGCTTATGGTATTAGAACAGCCTTCAGTCTGGGGCAATTCAGATTCTCCCTGAAATGCTTTTACATGTGCATTGCCTCCAAGTTCAGCTTCAGCTGATACTTTAACATATATATTTTCTCCCACAAGTCCGTAAATGGAATTTAGCATTTTTGTATCGTATTGCATATTAATAGGGTTGGTACAAGAGCTTAGTTTTTGATGTTGCAATGTTGTTTGTCCTTTTAGCCGACTTTCTTCCAAGTCCTTGATTCCTACCCCACTTTTCATGAATGGCATGAGGTCCAAAATCAATGGAAACCGAATATGGCCCTACAATTTTCCAAAAAGTGGTTCCAACATTATGACAAACTCCTCATCCCACAATATTAACGAGGAAAACATATGAACTACAATGCTAAGAGATCACATACCCAAAGTTTGACTAGTTCTCCAAACATATTCATAGTAGCACGTTGCAGTTGAATGCATAGAATCTGCAATGCATGATCAGACTGATGAGCATGCTCATGAGACAAAGGTAATTTTGAAGATACTCGCACTCCAATAAAAGAATAAAGCACTTGTTGTTCAGAAACATTAACATATACATTTGAAAATTTAAAGAACAGAGACATTGCAACAAGTTGCAGTTTTTCTACCCAGGGTTGTGCTAATCATAAAAGAAACTGATACTCGCAGCAAAAACACATAGCAGATTACAATGGCATTCAACAATAATGTGGAGACCTAACAAAGGGACATTACAAAACATATAACCATCACATGTTTTTCTCTGCCCTAGATCATTCTGATGCTGTCAAATCCAGGCAGATTTTAGAGGACACCACACATTGTTTCCATTAAGTGAAGAACAAGGATTTCACAATAGATGTTGTGAGGTAATCAGTTTTGACTGTCAAACAGATCGTATAGATTAATTATGAACTCCTAGTCCTAGGCGGCTTCCATGACTTCCAAAAGTCCCATTTAAAACCTGAAGTGAACATTAGGTCCCATGGCAACAAATGAAAAGGTTCAGTATTCACACCTGGGGACAACGAGAAATAGTTAGTTGTTTGAGAGTGTGGGAGAAGTTATTTGACCATGGCAGTGATTGAAGATGAATAAGATTCCGACAGTCACAAGAATCTTGAGCACTACATGTCCTAAGTCTTTCAATTTCCATCTGTGTAAGAAGTCAAATTAAAACCATAAGAATAATAAATAAAGCAGTATTGCTCAAAAGAACTAGATAACCAGAATCAGATCAATGGGATGAGGTGCCCAACACAGTCAAAGAAAGCAGATGATGAATCGAACAAGAAAAAGGAGAAGCACTGCAAGAGTTGGGGCTATGTTGCTAGGGCAGCAAGAGCAACAAATCAGCGGCACAAGGTAGATCAGCCCAACATCTTAAGATCCATTAACCAAGAATCAGAAAAAATTATTAAACAGTAGAACTACCTCAGTTGCTCCCATTGCAGATAAGTACTTTATGCCAGCAATGTGCCAGCAGTGGTTGCAGCGGTAATTCTCAACTTGTTCAGCAATGACAAACTGCTTCAGGCAATCCTCCAACGTACATCCAAACATCTAGCATGACATGGCAAAAAATTAGAGTTGAAACAATTGTAATTAAAAGAAAAGAAAAGGAAAAAAAAAACAAAACAAAACTCAGAAAGAAATTGAGAATGGGCTTAAAAATAAACTAACTAAATTATTAAACCTTTGGTCACATACAATAGAGGAACCACTATGTAGCACAGGTGAAAGAGGTAAACTATGAAAAAATTGATAGTCCAATGAAATCTGCAAGAGAACCGCACACGAACCAGTTAGAATCTATTTTCAATATAACATTATTCACATATGTATATGAAAATAAGGGCAGAGTAACAAGTGTTATAAGCATTTCACTATCTGAAAGTGTTCTTTGAGTGCCACATGAACCTGAGATGAACAACTTTGACAAGTTAAAATGCTAGTAAGAATCCCATCAAATGGTCCAAAGAAGTGCTTCTGCCATCTTTCCTGCTCACTCTGGTCCTCCGACTTCTTTGGGGAAAGAATCCTAAAATTTTGAGTGGCAACAGCATCCACCAGAGAACTTTGATTTGGACTGTAGCAATCTGAAAATTCTTCCCTTAAAGAAGACAAAAGGTGAAGAAATGCTTCCGCTGCATCCTAAAGCACACAAAAAAATCACAAATCAAGCACTGATAACAATACACTAAGTTGTTGCAACATAGAAAAGACGTGACTGCACCTGCTGGCTTGTTAGATTGAAGTTTTGAACGTACAGTTCCAATGCAAGCATCACTTCCCGTGGACTTAATACAACTCTTCCTTCAGCAACTAAACATAATTCTGGATAGGAATGGATTCAAATGCAAATATTCAGAGCTACGAAAAATATAGTTGCTCTTCTCAAATTATTGATAATAATGTAATCCAGGAAAACAAAGATAAATTCTAATTTTTGACAGTGAATAGTAAGTAGATGAATGCAAGTTTTGGGTAAAGTCAGCAGAGACTAATGAAAAGCCACTAAATAGAGTTTTATAATTCAGTCAACGATGTGCCTATGACTCATCATAACTTCTTGAACTAAAGTGGTCAATCTCAGGACAAAACAGCTAGTTGAATTGCTACAATAGCGGTGAAAAAAATTATGCCTAAGAGCATAATCATTCACAAAATTTTCTTTTCACCTTCTAACAAAGCAGCCAAAGCAACCGTAAGCGGCATGTTTTCATCGTGTTCCTCACATTCCTCCATAACCTTTTGAAGAAAAGGTTTAAAGTATGTACAGCTAGCCAGAGCCTGAGAAAATTTAACAAAAACGTATTTAGAGAATCCATTCAATAACTTCTAAGCTTCATCTAAAACCACATAAATAACAAACGCCGGTCAACTAAAACATCTCTTCCAACATCAATAAAGAAACGAGGAAAATGCAACGATACTGGAACACTCGAACAACCTTGTCATCGTTTGTAATGTACCATATCATAATCATGATTTGTAAAATATAACATCATATTAATAGCATGCAATATTAAAACAAGAAAGATAAATAAATTAAATAATAGCATCAATCTGTACTATCTTTTAACTGTTGTACTCCTCATTGAATGACCTTAACAGCACAAAACTCAAGTTTATGTTAACAATTCTAATTTTTTTTTCCCTATGATTTTCTCTCAAACCAAACATAATTTAAGCAAAGAGGAAAATACCCAGTTAAAGAATCTTAATATACCTGCAAAATAACATTCAAGAAACAGTTATTTCCAACATTTTGCAAGCCAGGTGCTAAGTACACCCTCTTCTCCAAACTGGTATCTCTCTCAGTCAACCATGGAAAGCCACTAAAGTTTCCAAATTTACCATCTTTTTTTAAAGCAAAAACAAACCCAGCAGCTCCCAGAAGGCCGGCCACTGATATGTGAAACCCAGAAGCTGAAACCCATGAAAAAGCTCCATTTTTGAGACACTGAATAAACGCTTTTACACTTGAGCCTGCTTCAGTTTTCATTGCAGGAGAGGGCAAATTCAAGAGTTGTGAGTTGTAAATAAGCTTAAGAGCTTTAATAAAGAACTGAGAAGTTGAAACAATTGAAATAAAAGATTTGTAAAAGGAGAATCGGCTTCTTGTAAAAGTCCTTCTAAACTCTAATGCCTTCTTCGAAAGTGCTTTTAGTTAAGCAAAGAGTTAAATGAAATTTATCCTATTAAGTTAGGATATATTTCCGTAAACAGTAGAAATATCTCTTATCGCAAAATAGATTTTAGGTGTTAAAATAAATAAAAAATAATTTAATAATATTTACTAATTTATAACAATATAAACTTTATTAGCGATATAATATATTTATTATTTCAAAAATAATTTTATAAATCTGAAAAGACTTTACAAATCTCATCTGCTTGTTAAGTATTCATTAATAATAAGAGAATTTGTTATTTTGGAGAGATTTTATTATTATATAGTTAAACAAGCTTTGATATTTAGAATTTTGATTTTAAAAACCAAAATATATTATTATTGCCTATTATAATAATTATTATTATTTACAAAAAAATATTGAATTATTCCAAAAGTAGGTCTAAATTTTGAAAAAAATTGATGTAATTAATTTGGTTGGTGAATTGCTTTCTAAGTATCAATCAAAGTTGAAAACCAAAACCTATATATATAATTTAATTTAATTATATTGAATAAGATTTTTTAAATAATTATAATTTTTAATCCATTAAATTTAAATCTAATAACCTTCCCCTTCAAGAGCTTAATCTAAAAATAGATAAAATATCACATTCGTTACTGATAATTTCAGATGTATAGTTAAATTATTTTTTATTTTTTAAACCTGTAATTTATTTAATAGGTATATGAATTTTCTAACCTACAATTGAGAGGAATTTGATCGTTTTAGCAAAATTTTGATCAATAAATGTTTAGGGGTTGTTGATCACATAGAATTATATTAATTATGAGTTAACAACTTTATCTCACCTACATAATAATTTAATAATACTTTTGATGAGAAAACACCAGTAAGTTTTTTAGTGATAAAATATTAAATTTTGATGATTGTGATTGGTTAGAATTTTATTTAAACCTTAACCATTCAACTGCCAGTGATTGATAATGTTGTAAGGTTTAAATGATTTTAATAAATGATGATATTAACAAATAGGTGGGAAAATATTATGTTTATTTCTCTCACTCTTCTTTTCCATACACTTCCATACTTTCTCTACACATTTTCACTTCCATTATTCCATGTTTCTTTTATATTTCTAAGTTTCCCTCAACCTCAAGAGTGTTGTAATACTCTGAAAATATTATAGATAACAAAAAATCTCATATATGTTTTAATTTATGTTCTTTAATATGTTTAATAGTTATATTTTCATTTATGTTCTTGTTTTTATTTATGTACATGTTCTTCATTTATATTCATGTTATCTATTTATGTGGTTGTTTAATATTAACTAGCCCTTTTAAATGATGTTAGAATCTGTGTGATTGTACGTGTGTATGAGATAAAAAGAGGGTCTTGACCATCATTTCGACCGATCGTTGTGTTGATTGGTTTCGCTTAGGTCAAACCTTTGTATCGGACAAGTTGGTGAGCAAACACAAATTTCCAATTATCGAGGGTTTTGAACCATCGGAGAAAAGTTATCAAAGAGTGCAATTCAGGAATTGAGATTGACTAGTATTGGAAAATTATTTTCAACATATGTTCAACCTCATATTACTAATGAATTGCAAAAATTCTCAAATGTTCTCACAACCAAGAAAGAAATACAACAATTCTTGAGAATTACCAATTACATCTACTCTACTTTCCCAGATGGTATTTGGATGGAAAAAATAATATTTTAAAAATTTGTGATTGAAAACAGATAGTTAAAAAAGAGTTAGCTACTATATTAAATTATTCACTGAACATTATTTGGGTCACCTCATCTTCAACCACATTATAAATGATTTGGATCTATTTCATAATTAGCCAAGAATTCAATTCATTGGATTACTATTTTTGCTTATCAAAATGTAGTACAACTTGAGAGACAAAACTTCAAGCTGATTCTAGTGAACTCCCCACATCCCCAAAACATTGAAACAAAACTTCAACATGCAGAGGTGAAACCAAGTGAACAGTAGCAATGGCGTGAGAAATGTTGAATCTATAGAAACCAAATTTTCAACCATTTTGAGACTTAAAGACACTCGTCAAAAAAAGTAAGATCAAAGTTCTCAGACATCCAAGGAAGGATATAAGCAGCACAAGCTCTCAAAGCCTGGCGAAGGCGAAAGCTCTTAGGCCCGGTGACGCTTACAAAACTCTTTGTTCGGAACAAATTTGTCATCATCAACAATAATAACCTCAAACAAATATACACTTCACCCATAAACTGAACAAAATTGAAAACCTACATTATAAAAACTTGACAACCCCAATTATAAATTTGTACTAACTTAAATAAGTAGGCATTCCATATTGGCAACACACTGAAAACCATTAAGAGGCTCTACTTCATTTCAAGCCTCGACTAAGTTGCTATATCAAAATGACATGGTTAATATAAATTTCTAAACCTAGAAGTAACTAATCATGTTCTACGCGATAAAATGAAATAAAAAAAAGCCTGCAAATTTGCTTTTATCAACACTATAATGATATCATTCTTCTAAGTTTAGAAGATTAGACTTGTAATGAGAATACACATTCAAAAACAAGGCAAACGCACACATCCCAAAAGCAAACTAACAAATTCCCATTAACAATTAAGGTCTCAGACATCCAAGGAAGGATAAAAGCAGCATAAGCTCTCAAGCCTGGCGAAGGCGAAAGCTCTCAGGCGGCCACTGCGAATGTTTTGAGAAAAGCCTTAAAGATCATCCTCATGGACCTCAACACGATTATGACATCATATAATCAATACTTTAACCATTTTCAACATTAAATCAAAAACCAAAGCTAATTATCAACCAAAAAGAACCGAATCTTTCAGCTCTTAGTTTAAGACAAAGCCTTGAAAATCATCCACATTGACCTCAAGACAACCAATATATCATATAATCGGAATCTTACCTTTTTCATCATTAAATAAAAAACCCAAGCTAACTATCAACAAAAATAAAAAAAAATCAAATCTTTCAATTTTAGAACGTGATAAAACAACAGAATCACAGAAACCCAGATTGAAATTACATGTACCATCCTATAATGATCAGCAAGAAACCAAAGGAAAGCCTGCTGACAAAGTGATTGAGATGGAGAAAATAAATATTAGGGACTTGTTCATCCCTAGAGCACTCGTAAATCTGCTAAAGGGGCAGACGTATAGTCCCCTAACTAAACTTTCTATTATCCGAAAAATAAAAAACCCTATCCCTAAAATTATTAATAAACAAAACCAGTATCGAAGTTGGGCATATACATATTACTGAAACGACAGCGTATCAAGGATTGTGAGTTGTGACTGTGAGTGTGATGAGTATCTAGTGATTGGGTTTTCAAGAGGAAGAGGAAGAGGAAGAGAGTGGCTGGGTGGAGAGGAGAGAGGGATTGTTATATAGAGAGGAGAGAATTAGGGTTTAGGGTTTGCAGAGAATTTAGGGTTTTCGAAGATGGACGGTGGGGATTCAGTGGTGGGATTTTGATGGAACAATCTGGATCAATGGGTTTTGACTTGAGAAACGGTGGTCTGGTTTGGGCCGGGCCGGGTCTAGATGGGCTGGACTAGTTGAAGATGTTGGGTTGATTTGACCGAAATCTAATTAATCAAATTAGTGTTTGAGATTAGTGAAGATTAATCTTCTTCCTACTACAAGATGGTCAAAAAAGGGAAAGAAAAATAAAAGCAAACTCATAGACCAAATCCCTTGCTTTATGAAGAGGTAGTCTGAATTAAAAGCAGCATGCCTACATGTATTTTACTTCCCAAAACACCCCTAATGCCCATCTCAAAGTTACCATAATTAGCTATTTTTTTTGTCCTTTTGGTCATTTCACTATGTTCACTGACAAGTTACAGACTGGGTAAATTCTGTCATCCCTAAATTTTTAAAATATGACATTACCCCCAAAATCGAAAACATGTTTTGTATGAATGCAACACACTTTCGAGTTTTGACAGCCCTTTGTTTGACGGATTACTCATTTTGCTTCTCAACCTAGAAGGTAATACAAAGAGTGAAACCCTAACAAAACAACGTCACAATAATTTAAATTTTAAAAATTTATGAGTTATTTTCGTAACATAAATCAAACATACCATTAACAATAACACGACCTTACATCCCTAACTTGAGTTCCATAGATATTCTTGACGTTGACGATAATATTGAATTTCTCTAATACGAGACTCTCCTCGAACAATTCTCCTTTTTTCTCTTTAACCTACAATGGATTAAAATTAAATGGAGCAATGTTATGACACCCTAAATTTTAGGGTCTGTTTGGAAGTTTTTTTTTTCCACTAGTTTTGAGGTATTTTTAAACTATACTTCCAGATTTTTTATGCACTGGTTTTGATTGGCTCAAAACCCTCCAGAACAAGTTACGTATTTTGGAGAGTTATAAACACCCTCAAATCGGAGTGTTTTATTGGTTTTTAAATTTTATTCCCAAACACTTTATCCACTATAAAATTATCTCAATTACATTAAAAAAAAAAATCATATTATGCACGTCTTCAACTATATTAATATAAAACAATTTAAAGCAATCAGCAAAAAAAAAAAAAAAAATTATTAAAATCTCATTTCTAGATGCTTTCTTGGAGAAGTAAGTTACAATTTTTCAATAATTCTAAATGCTACAAAAAAAAAAAAAAAAAAAATGGCGGATAAGTAAGAAGTTTTATCACATTTGAAGTTATGAAATACTAATAAGTAGAAAACAAATAAGAACTCTTACCTTATAATTGAAAAAATAAAACTCCAAAGTACTGGTTAGAGTTGAGGTATTTTATAGGCATATATGTAAATTGATCATTTTAAAAACTGTTAGAACCACTAAAAATAAACTCCCAAGCACAGGTTGATTGTTTAAAAAAACCGTTACAAAAAACCGCTATGATGGTTTACCTTCAAAACCACTGTAGTGGTTTACCCTCATAACCGCTACCATAAAACTCCCAAGTGGGCCTTAGGTTACATATTAAAATTTCTTTACAATTTTTATTTTGGATCCTAAATCAAACAAACCCTTACACCAATCATCTTTTATATAATGGAGTTCCATCGACATTTCTTGATGTTGAGGGGTATATTGAATTTCTCTAAATGTATCCCCTTTCTCAAATAGTTGTCTTTTTTTTTTTTTTTAATGATCGAAGTATACGGATCAACTTGCGCTCACCTTAACATCTTCAAAACCTTGAAATTGCTTATTTCTTTTCGTCCTATGACTAACTTTATGGATGAAAACCTAATTGAGCAATGTCACAACAACTTAAATTTTAGATTTTATATTGAAATTTATTTGCAGATTATTTTTGTATCATAAATCAAATATACTCCTATCTCAACAGGATCTACTAATATAAATGGAGTTTTACCACATTTCTCGATGTTGAGGGGGAACTGAATTTCTCAAAACTTAGAGAGTTGACTGTAATAAAAAAAAACCCAATATTTAGGAACGGCTGCTTACCTTAACCAAAAACACAACAAAACATTTTCCAAGTAAACAAACAAACATTCCTGGGAAAAGTGATAAAATTAAAGTAACAAAAGCAAAATCAAAAACCCACAATCTCATCATCGTTACAGCTCATTTGAACCCAAAGACCGCCTTTTTTTTGCTTTTTTTTTTTCTTTTTCTTTTAATAATCTCTGAAAAAAACTAAAAGCTACAAGTTTCAGTATTCTCTCTTTATCTCTTGCTTTACCTGCTCATTCAACTCTTACTTGTAGTAAAAACCATTTCTTTATGGCTAATTCTAAGCCTAAGCGTGTTTATCAAACTTGGAAGGGGAGAAATGATGTGGGATTTTGTTAATGTTGAGAAATATGATCTGGTTTGGTTTTCTTTCATTGTTTTTGTGTTTTTTTGACAAGTTTCTAAGTTATAATTTTGGACTTTGAGGCTTGTGGCTTGCTTATTTTATGATAATATAGAGGTCATTGTTCTTGTAGTATTTCTTTGTGCATATTTATGATAGAGTTTGTGGGTTTTGTTAATGTGAGAAGATGATCACAGTTGTCTGTTTTATTGTTTTCATTTTTATTTATTTTTGAAGTTTGAGTTAATTTTGGCTCCTAAACTTGGGACTTGCGTTTTTTTTTCTTTCCTTTTGGCATAGCTTCTGCTATTTCGCTAAAGTTTGGTGGGTTTTGTTTGAATTGATCGGCATGGTTGGCTTTATTTATTATTATTATTCTTGTAAGTTATGAGTTATAATTTTGGCTCCTAGTTTTGTGGCTTGCTTGTTTATGATAATAGGACTTCTTGTACGTGTACATTTTTTTTTTTTGTTTTTTTTGGCTATGGTTTGCTTAGTTTATGCTAAAGTTTGGTGGCTTTTTGTTAAGGTAGTGAATTGGTATCTGGTTTCAATTTTGGCTTGTTTATTTATTAGTTTTATAATATAGTCTGAGGTTGATATGGCTAGTTGTAAAAAAAAAAAAAAAAAAAAAAAAAAAATTTCTTAAAGTGTAGTTTTTATTTATTATTTATTTTTTGTTTTCTTGAAGATGGCTATGTTTAATTTATGTTAGAGTTTTGTGGGTTTTTTAATGGTGACAGATGATCTGGGTTTGGTTGTTATTGTGTTTTCTTGATGTTGAGATGTTATGAGTTGTTGGCTTAGATTGTGGCTTATTTTTGTTTTGAATTTTGTTGTGGCAGGTGAGGTTTTGTTGCTAAGACGTAGTATTTTGTTTCTGAATTTGTTATGTTACTGTATCCTTTTTTGTCTCTGGACTTTAGCTAGTTTGATGGAATTTGTTGGATTTTTGTTTGATTGTGAAATTTTAGATGGGTCTGTTTGATGATACAGCTACTGGTTTGGTTGTAGCTTTTTGGCATTTCTTTATTGTTGTCAAATTTGGTGTTTTTTCTAACATAGTAGATGATATTGGTAGTTTTATCAGGTGTTGATTGTTTCTGCAGTTTTCAATTTATTCGAACACTTTTCATTTCAAATGCTGAGAAGTATTTGCCTAAGGAAAGATGATATGTGCTTAGCAATAGTGACGAGCAATGGAAACACATCCATTACTAAGTTTAGTAAAAAAAAGTTATTCATGGCAGAACATTATTTACTTCATTTTATAGCAGCTCTGCACATATTGAAGTGAATATCAATTCTTTACATTTTGAATTGCTCTAACACCAAAAAAAGTTTTACATCAATCATTCAGTGGCTTTTGGCTGAAGATCAGAAAATCTGTTTGCATATGTAGATGACATCTCTGTACGTGTGTACGGTTTTTTTACTATGAATGAATTGATTTGTCGATTTAGCTTTATTCCTTTTAATTTTCTGATAAGTTTCTTTCTTTGACTTCATTTTGCAGAAATTCCTCTGCAATGGAAGGCTTGTATTTGGGCCGATGCAAAGTCCTGCTGGCACGCTTTTGCTTATCCTTGTTCCTGTTGTTATCTTTTGCACAAATGTGGCAAGGAACCTTGTTCATGAAGTTTCAGCATATTGCAGGTTATGCGATTCTGGTGGTGGCAATTTTGCTCACAGTCTATGTTAGTTCTTCTCTAAGCCTTAATGTAGCTTTGGTGTTTTTTGTAATTTTTCTGATCGTAGAATTTTAGCGTTGCTTTGCTTTGAAGAATTGACTGTTGGACATCTCTTCAACTTCATATGCTCAGTTTTAAAAATTGGATAAATGGTGATAGAGAAGTATGATAAATATTGTTGATACGTCAAGACTATTTTTATCATATGATTCATTTTTTCTCTCACTTTCAAAATCATGCAGCCCTTTGAATGAGATTCTAGTTTTCCTTTTCACTTTGTGCCTGATGCCCTTATCTGTTCGTGTCACCATATAATTGCTTATGATCATGTTCTATCTTTTTTTTTTTTTTTTTCTAATGTTTGTGGTTTTAAGCAACCATTCAACTGTAATCCCTTAGTTGGTCATGATAGGTGCTGCTGCTGCTGTTTCTACTTCAGCCCAAGACCCAGGCATTGTTCCCCGCATTTACATCCACCAGAAGAAGAAGTAGTGGCGAGTCTTCAGCCTCAGTTGATACCATGAAAAACACCAACACCAATCACACGATTCCCCCACAAAAAAGTCATTATTGATGGTGGTATGGTCGTCGGGTGAAGTATGCGATACATGTAAGGTGTATCGTCCACCACGTTGCTCACACTGCTCTGATGCGACAACTGTGTGGAGCGATTTGATCATCATTGCCCTTGGGTGTGGCCAGTGCATTGGAGTGGTATGTCTTCAGGGTCTTATAATTCTTTCTTGTAGCTGTAGTACTCTGGTGCTTGTCCCCAGTCAAGTGTAATTTTAAATCAACCCCGTTCTAAAGTATGTTTCTTCATTCATCTAAATGCCAAACTTCCTATTCCCCAAAAAATGCAAATTATCCTTTTATTTCGAGGAAATTTGGCTCAATTTTTGTGATGATAGCCATGTATAATAGTTATTCTCATTCCATGTTGTCAGATTTACATTCTTACACGGTTTAGCAGTTCAAAAGCCATAGGCTGACAAAGAAGATTCAGAAACTGCTTTAGATATATGCTTATAATTTGAGAACGAAAAACAAAACAAAAAAATTGTTTAATGGAGAGGGATTTTAGGGAGCGAGTGATCTGCCTTGGATAATTGCTACACCATTTACTTAATAAGGAATTTAGAAAATCTATATAAGACACGAAAGATGTTGAGTTAGTTGTTAATTAAAACACTAGAGCCTGTTGGGAATTTCTTTACTAATCTTTCCTTCATGGACCTTATTTCTAAGTGTTATTAATTTAGAAAATTATTTGTATACATGTCAGCGGAACTACCGTTATCTTTCTGTTCGTTCTTCTTCAGCTCTCTCTGCGGTTGTGGTGTGCAATGTCATTTGAACATAAAACTTCAAATGGACAACTATGGAACTCTTTGGAAGGAATCAAAGCGACACCTGCGTCAGTAATACTAGTGGCCTATGCTTCTTCTTCCTTTGGTTTGTTGGAGGTCTCACCTGCTTCCACTTATATCTCATAAGCACAAACCAGGTCAGTTTTTCTCTCATTCAATTCGGCATGATATTATCATATCTTCATATGCTTGATTTTTTCGGTTTGAGTTCTACAGTCAGACTTACAACTTTCGGCTCCTTTTTTTTACAAACTGAATCAAATCATTTTCACAGTCTTGTCAACATCAATTTATACAGCAAGATATATACAGAATATCGGGCCTATAAAATTTGTGTTATAGCTCATCTATAACACGCGAAAATGTATAATAATTATCATCTAGTGTTTTCTGTATTCCTTTTTCTCTTTTTTTTGCTTGTTCACACCTCCATATCTGGTTGAATTATATGTTTTTGCTGCTAAATGAGGATGTGAAACAGGATACTGAATTTCGAAACCTTAATGAAAATAATAAAGGATTCGACATGTTGAATTTTAGAATTTTGAAATAACAGACTGATAATTATTATACTGCCTTGATTATGGAAACTTTCTAATTCTGTAATTACTTCTTTAGACGACATACGAGAACTTTCGCTATAGAGGAGATGATCGGATCCGTGTCTATGACAAGGGTTGCTTAAAAACTTTCTTCAAGTATTCTGCAGCAAGATACCAGCAATCAAATTCCATGCATATGTACAAGAAAATGAACAGAGGCCTTCAAATGGCCTGAACACCCAGAAGCCGAGGCCCGTTATCGGGAGGGGACCCGCGAGTAAGGTAGAAGATGACCGAGAAATCGGTGGTGATCTCCTTAAGATATCCCAACGCCGTGATGAATGCAGAAGTATAGGACACGCAGGCTGAAAAACAGGAAGAAATGGTATGATCCTGAAGTGCTTTGATGATCAAACTTGATCGTCGGAAAACTTTTGCTGCAACCATGCAATGAAACACATGAATTGGTTTGAAAGAGAAGCTTGGAGGTTTCTCCATTGATCCTCTTTTCTCTTTGCAAATAGTACAGAGACATTGATACATACTATGAGTTCCAACAGAGAGAACAGTAAATTTGGTTGAAATTTACTGCGTTTTTGTTTAACTGCAGAATCTCAATGAGTTGATATTCTGGCAATTAAATGATGTCATGGAAGTGTTCCTTTGATTTTGCATGATTTTTATTAAGATTTTGTTAGGTGCTACCATCTACAAACATTATTCCGTATTACCGAACGATACATATAGATATACAGATTTTTCATACAAATTGATGTTGTTCGATATGTACGACTTTCATATTATTTCATTTGTAATTACGTTACACTCCCCCTCGCTCGTCTTTTTTTCTTATAAAATAAAAGAAAATTTTACTTGATCTCTTGATAAAATAGAGGATGTAATAGAGATTGAAATTTCACCAAATAATGGGATTGGAATACATCATATGGTTGGTTTTTGCTTTATTATACAAGTCAATTGGCTTAGCAAGTAAATTTCAAAACAAAAAAAATTAATCCCAAGTTCCTAAATATAGCATATGTAATCATAAAAAATATTACTTGAAGTAATTTGAAATCCATCAATTTTAATCCTAAAAGATAATCACTTGAAAATTTCTACTTTAGTCACATATAAAATAATTAAGAGGAAAAATAAAATATTTTCTTTAAAGAAAATATAATGGATGGTTAGGATTCATCAAAACCATTATATTAATTATTTTTCCTTTTAAAAAAAAAAAAAAAGGTAAGAGTAAAAATGAAAATTAAAAAAATTTTGTAACCATAGTAGAATTTTATATTTTTTTGAGGACTTTTGCGAATTAAAGAACCTATAAAAATTAAAATAAAAACCTTTCGCGCCCAAGGGTTTACTTTTGCCTTTTCTTTCTCTCAAAATCACACTCCTAACTCTCTCTCTGTTTTGGGTTGTTTTTAAACACTCTGAATTCTTAGATATCAATCGATTCACAATGGTAAGTCTCTGATTGGATCAGATCTAACATCTCTCTGTTCAAAATCACTTCTTTTTGAACGCAGCGTTTTAATTTTTGACAATGGTTCAGGAGGGAAGCCAATTTAGAGGCGCAAATAGATCAGTTGTTGAACATCGAGAAGCAGAGGAACTAGCCGGATGTGGCGGGCACCAAGAAGGCCGCGACGGACATTTTCAGCTTTGTTTTGAAGCTAAAGACTGGAAGACTCTTAATGACAGATTGTTAATTTGTCCAAGAAACGCGGGCAATTGAAGCAGGTGAGTTTTTTTTAAGTGGTTGTTTAGATTGGGATTTTGGATTTGTGAATTGGTTTTTGGTGAGTTAGTTGTAGATTTGAAATGAAAGGAATTTTGTGTTTTGTATTTAGGGAAGCATATTGGAGGTATATGCATTGATTTAGGTGTTGTAGATTGGAACATTGTGACTGTGAATTGGATGTTTTGTAGAATTTAATTGTAGATTGAAAAGAGAGGGTGTGATCTAGGTTTTGGGATTTAGATTTTTAAGGTTTGAGAGTTTTTTGATTTGAATGACATTTAAGTGCCTGTTTGTATAGAATTTGGATAAGGATTAATTGTTTTGTAAACGGGATATGAGAAATTTAAGAAAATTTGTTTAGTTAAAATGATTTTAGAAATAATTGTGGGATACAATTTTAATAGGTAGTTTTAAATTTGAAAAGGAAATTTTTGAAGAAGTATTGCTATCGTGATGGTGTTTGAGGGTTCAATTGTGTTATAATTCATGTTAATGGTTTGTGCAGAATTTTGTAATGCAAATGCTATTGATAAAGATTGTTGAGTAGTTCGGTAAGTTAATTAACTATTACTAGTGAATTTACACTCTTTTTATAAATGTGGTTTAATTTCAAATTTGGAATTGTTTATTTGAATTGAGGAGTTTTGTGTTTTTTCGTTATGTTAATAGATTGCAATACTATTATTAAATATTGTCTATGGTAGATTTCTTTGATTAAGCTTGATAAATGTTATTTGCTGGTTCTGTTAAGTTTCAGCTTGAGTTTGTTTGGGATTTTGTGGAATTGTGTGCAAACTGAGATTGGTGTCCTCTCTTTATATTTTAGATGATGCATGTACTTGTTCATATTAATGTTTTAGTTCATGATATTTGTTAATTTTAAATAAACTCTTAGTTCTACTATGAGGCTCAAACAAATTTCTCAGTTATTATCTTTTGCGAAAATACTATAGAGGATAGGCATATCCCCAAGGTTGGATTTAGTGGTAAAAGCCCTTGGTTCAACTTAGAGTTTCAGGTTCAAATCTCCTTGAGACCACCTACGTGGGATATTATATCTCACAAGTTTTCAACTACCAATTGTAGGTTCTGGAAGTACTCCCGTTTTGAGCTTAGTGAAAATGTGATGGTCATAGGATCTCATTATTAAAAGGAGAAAAAAAAAAAAAAAAAAAAAAAAAAAAAAGAGGGAGCAAGAGAGAAAAACTGTGGATATGCCTTTTGCTTATGATTTATTGTTTGGAAGAACCTCGTATAGTGTCATTATGGTGTTTAGAGATGCATTCTTCCGTTCCTGTTGTGTTCAATTCCTAACTGTGTACAGTTTAATTGATGATAATATCCCGAGATTTGATTACGTCTAGAATTTTGTGGCATGTTAATGTAAAATACTATTGCATGTGTTAAATCTCACATGATATGATGTTTTATCTTAAAATATTTCTTGTGTATGCATGTCTTTCATGATGTGTTGAGAAAAGGAAACAGACTAATGCTATTCATATTTGTAACTTTTTGTATCTCTCCTGTGTTGCTATTTGTCTCTCTCTCTGGTTCTTTTAGAATTCATTAAGTATTCTTCAATTATTCACAAACTTGCATGGTGAACCATTTGATCAGATTTGGAATCATTGTTTTGCTAAATCTTTGGGCAATATTTAAATGGTTCGCTTTTTGGATACATGTTTGATGTTTTCTTGGGGTGTATGTTTCTGCAGCGGTAACTGCAATGGTCCAGCAAGCAATGCAATATATTGTAGACACCAGATATTAATACTCGTATAGAGCTCATCGAAACACTAAACAAGGTCTCCGCGGGAAGGTGAACGTGGGCCAATAAATCTTTTAAGTTT